CATGTGATGTGAAACGCACAATAATACGGTTCACCTTTTTCGTACATTTCTTTGTGTGTGATTTTGCGTGAAGAAAACTTTTGTGGCTTGTCCAGAGGAAGTTCAGAGGACCACCACGGCCTGCAGCTATTTTGCAGTGTATGCCCGGCTTTTGACAGCTGCAGCAGCGCTCATATCTACAACTAACAGCTTTGATACCTCTGCGATCGCCCAGTTGTGAGTTCAGGTGGTTAGAAAAGTGTGTAAAGTGTAAAAAGTGTGTGTTGAGTGGTTTTACAGCCTTAAAACATACAGCTGCTACTTTGTGGACTTGGCAAACCCCCACCATAAACAAACGACCACTGTATTTATTGCATTTGAAAGCATATTGCAGGTATGATTTATTACCTGTGTGATAAATTAGTAAACATGTCTAAGTTGAGTCCCCATGGCCCCTGTGTCCTCTGTGCGTCTCATTAGCGAGTCACCGACAGCACAAACACAGCATGTAAATGAGAAGTGATGGCGTTCATCTCCCTGGGCGCCTCCTACACTATATAAATAAAACCCGTGACAATGGAGCATATTTGTCACATACTAGACACCTCTACCTCAGAGTAATATCAACATACAGCATAATGGTCGTGTGCAATCTCCTCAAAGGACATGGTATAATTGCTCTATTGTGCTTATTCACTTCAGTGTGTTATCTATGCCTAACCTCAATAATTGTCACATCCACAATCGACGTGACAGAGGCGGCGGGAAAGGCAATAAATAAATATAATCTCCCAAGTTCAGTATCATAGAAAATAAAACATGTGTGAAGTCTGTTGTGCGGACAGGGAGTTCTTGTCATTGATGCTGACAGTTCAGGACATATATTCAAAATTCATATAATTTTCTTATAGTCATATTTGAGCTGGAAACTGTAAACTAGTGATCGAACCAAACTGTTTTGAGAGAGAGGAAGTAGTTACATGAAGCTGGAAGTAAAATAAAAAATTGAACTTCCTTACTATATACAGTATGTCTGCACTAGAATATACAGTACTTTAAACTTGCTTCTTCATGATGCTAAAGTTAGAGATTTTGTACCTAATTTTTCCTCTTATTACAAATTATAGACTGCTTCCTTATTGTGGTAAAGCTAGAGATTGTGTTTTATGTTATTTTATTCAATAAAAAGTTGAAGTTAGTGAGTTATTTAGTATAGAGTTTAGTAAATAGCATTTATCTTATCCTGTGTTGTGTCCATGTGCTGTCTGCTCATTCCAACTGTTCTGTAACCGGCGATGCAACCCTGAAATTTCCCCACTATAAATGTAAAACTAGGACACTAGGACAAGTGTTTTTCTACTTTTAAGTTCAACATAAACATAAAAACATGCAATAAAAAAAATCTCTGGTCTATTATTGGCTCATAATGTGAGTCTATTTTGACGGGCACCAAGTTTTTCTAACATTTAGCGATGCTGCTCAGTTGATACCTTTTATAAATATATGAACAAAACCTCCAAATGGAAAGACAAAGCTAAAAACCATTTGTCTGCTCAGTGCAAAACTCACAAATTCCTGGAGGAAGTGGCATCGATAGAAGCTCTCCTTAAGCTTGTCCTTCGTTATTCTCATCTGTGGAAGCTCCCTGTGTGGACTTGTGAACCTGAAACCAAAAGACGGCTATTGTTGTTTTAGTAAAAGTGTTAATGAAGAAAAGAAAGGCAGGTTGACTTTGTGCTGCTGCTATGGACACGGTGCGATCTCTTATCAAATAGAACAGTTGACGCATTGCTGTTTTTAGATTGATGTGAACCATAATGTGTTACCATAGTGAGATAAGATAAAATGTCATTGTTGCATGTTCTCCCTGTGTCTGCATGAGTTTCCTTTGAGTGTTTTGATTTCCCCACCCACTAAAAAAGAAATTAAAGGTTAAATAAAAGTTTAATAAAAAGATAAATAAGTGAGCTCTCTGTGGACACATTATTAAAACTGTTTTGCGCATTATAACAACTATGATATTTTGTTATTGCCACAGTATTATTTTTATTATTATTATTAAAGGCATGAGTCAGTGTGCCACATTCAGACAATTTTAGATATTTGTGTGACTTTCTGCACCAGTTTGGAATGTCTTTTATCGATGGCAAACCTGGAGAGTGCCCGATGCTTCGCTAAAATACATGTTTGTATGAAAGGCTGTTGAGAGTCGCAATTTACGGTCACTTCACCTTTCCTTTTGAAAAAGCAACTCTACAACCCCAGAAGAAGTTCCTGCATGAGAATACCCACAACAAGACAAAGGGTTTCACTGATTTGCACTTCAAAAGTTTTATTGATGAAGATCTTTCCTCCTTTCGCTGTTTGAAAACAAGTTCTTCAAAAATGAGCAATGAGCTGAACTACCAGCAGTTCAGCACAATTCTGCAGCTCTTTGGCATCACGTGTTTTTTTATTTCGTGATGATCAAGGAAATTATGACATTACACTGTTATCGTTTAAACATTATCATTTTTAGTGGTGCCTTTATGTACTTCTGTAATTATTATTAACACTTGTCAAGTGGGAAATTACACATGAATGGCTCTCATCTCGTATTTTTATAAGGAAACTGGGAGAAAATGTTGAGCTCCAGCCTGTAAAATGGTGGTCAGTGGTAGAAATACTGCGGATGGTCAGTTTGGTTTGAACTAGATAGATAGATAGATAAATAAATACAGTTAGATAGATAAATAGATACAGTTAGATAGATAAATAGATAGATACATAGAGATGTATAGAGATAGATAGGTCACAGCCTCAGAGGTGGAGTAGCCTCTGGGTGGAGCAGGACGGGCCACAGCCTCAGAGGTGGAGTAGCCTCTGGGTGGAGCAGGACGGGCCACAGCCTCAGAGGTGGAGTAGCCTCTGGGTGGAGCAGGACGGGCCACAGCCTCAGAGGTGGAGTAGCCTCTGGGTGGAGCAAGACGGGCCACAGCCTCAGAGGTGGAGTAGCCTAAGGGTGGAGCAGGATTGGTCAAAAGGTGGAGTAGCCTCTTGGTTCGGACCATTTTCTCTGCTCTAGCCCAAAGTAAAATGCGAAATGCTTCATTAGCATATTTTAAAAAATTAGCATTCCTCCAGTGGATTTTCTCCAAATAACAAGTGAACAGTCTGTTGCTATGGTAACTAGCGCTAAAAAAATGAAAGATAATTCAATAATAACAGAAAAAACTACAAATAAAGACAAATGCAAATCACAAAGTTATAAAGACCAAAAATATACATGAGTTGAGTATTTATGCTTCCAAAACTAAAAGCCGTCAAATTGACTGCTCGAGGAGTTTTAGTGGTAAATTCAATGTGGTCTTTTGTTGCTTTTGAATGACTTTTGCTCTTGCTGAGTTAACCATGTTGCCTGACTCCAGATTGTGGGCTCAAAATGTAAAGTAGCCATTAAAAATATGTTGTAATCTTTGTTCTATCTGTTTTATCCACAGGCCCACTCACCACCTCCCAAACCTCTCTGCATTCGTCATTTTTAACGTTTTGTTATTAATCAACTGTACTAAAGCCACTGAAAAGAGATATATTGAAAAAAAGAACCGACATGCCGAGTCCATTTGATCGTTGCTTCGTAGGTTTTTGGTTTCAACTCCCTCAGAAACATATTAGTACCATTATTCATACCCCATGTGATACTCTATGTTTCTATAGTGTAACGCCTCCGTGGATTATTCTTCGTGGCGGTTTGCATGACTGTCTTTCTCCAGTTCAGTACATTTATTTAAGTTAAAGATGTATAAAGACTTATGGACATTTTTGTTTCCAGCTGCTATAAAGTCCAACGATTGTAATCGACAAATCTAATTATCTTTTTCAGTCTTCTTCACAACAAAATTTAGTTGTTTAGTTAAATTATACAAAAATGCCCTTGTGAAATTGGATGTGTAACTACCTTGGAACTGTTTTTGTTTGTAATCTTCATGATTCCACTTTGAATTGTTAAACATGCCTCATTATTACAGACAAATCTGAATCTTTGAAATAGAACATTGAAAGAGTAGTTTTCCCATGTATTGTATTAACTTAGATTTAGAAACTTAGAAATTAATTAATTCATATTAATTCAAATCAGTATTTCACATTTTCTGGGTGTGTCCAGATTTACTTTTTACTGATGTGGTGCTGAGAAGTTAGCCCTCTGGCTTCTCGGGAAGAAGGAGTGAAGTTTGCACGTGTCTACAAAGTTCCCTTCAGGTCCTCTAGTTTCCCCTACTACTGAAAACATATAAAATAGCTCCCCTTTCTCTAGGGATAGGACTCCACCTGAAAAATCAGTCTGAAATGTCAGTGGAAGATTTGTTTCAATAAATAAAAATATTAGAAAAATAGATTAAATAGACACAGAAATAACCTTCAAACTGGGATTCTTTTTCTGTGAGGCCAAAGCACTTTCTTCTACCACCACTGTGCTGTAAGGAACATTGATACAACTTAAATTCTTAAAACTAGATAGATAGATAGTTAGATTACTTTATGGATCCCCGTAGGAGAAATTTAGGTGTCCAACAGCAGAAACACATTCATTTAAATTCAATTCAACATATTCTCTTACATAGCCCTAAATCAGTTATCTCAACAGCAGTTATCTCAAATAACTCAAATAAAAAAAACCTGTTGAATTCGCCAACACAGATCAGAGAATCAAACCCTTCAAACACAGGAAATACAATGATAAAAACACATAGAGCCATTGGTCCATAAGGGGCAGATGACCAATGTCCATACATGTTGATAAATGTCCATAAAAACACATCCATCCATACAAACACATACGTGCATGAATTATAAACTTTTCTAACCAACTGACAAACAATATACAACAATAAAAAACGTTAAAATAGTCTCATTAAAACACTTTGTAGAACCATTTGCCAAATCTGTACGATAAAATACATGTTACACTGTTGAATCTTCTCTTGATGTTTCTTTATTTGCTGGTTTGTTGGAGTAATTGAGCGTGTCCTCCAGATTAGGACATGAGTTGTGTGGCGTTCTCCTGCTGTGCTGCCCTTTCTGCAGAGAGTGGTGTGGCTGTGACTGACAGCTTGAGTGGAGGCTAAACATGTGTGTTTCCCCCTGGGCTGGATCCTCACTCTGCTGCCTCTCATCCATCACACACACTTATGCCCTGTTCGCTCATAGAAAAGGTCACGATGTGTTTTTATGGCTCTGCGTCGCACTGGACACATACTCTAGGGACGGGCACAGGGGACGCCCAACTGAATACCTATACGCAGTTTGCAATTCATAGCCTTAGATCTCTTACACAGTGTTCAGTAGTGAGAGATGAGGCGGTCACTCTGGGCGACAAACACATATCCCACTCAACATAAAGTCAGAGTGTGTTTATTCATATGTTTTGTTTTTTTATTTTACATAGTAAATAGACACACACAAACACACACACACACACACGCACTAGTCGGATTACAGCCAACCCTTCTGCACATGGACTATTCAAGTCGCTCCCCACAGCTAGGAGGCAATAATCTGGACCAGAACTTCCCACCATAGAACTGGTTTCTTCTCCCCGATGCAATAATAATGCATCAGTTTTAAATAGCGCTTTTCAGGACACTCAAAGACGCTTCAAATGTCAATATTCTTTCAAGGCAACCAGTATGTGCCATCAGCCCCTCCGACCACCACCGACCATTCACACACACACCAGAATCATTCTATGTCTATGTCTATGTGGTAAGACGGGCTTTGGAGACCTGTGCTGGTGTGCTCTTACCTGCCGCTCCGTGGCGCTGGCCCGGTGGGCAATAAAAGCGCTCCCAAATCTCAGCTGTATTCCTCTTTGCCCACACACTCTTCCGGGCCCTTGTGTTGGCCGCCTGTTCACCAGCTCCAGGTAAAGTCCCGCTCTATGTCCAGTTTCACGCAATATCCCTCTAAAATTCCGTCACTTAGTAGTCGCTTCACTTTCCATTTAGTGCCACTGTCTGATCACTGCAAAATACAGCATTTCCTCGCTGCTCTGCACCACTCTGGTGCGCGCATCCGTGCACTGTGTTACAGGTAAGATCGCCTTGGCCCATTCTCTCCTCTGTGCCTATTATGTGTACATTATAAAAGCATTAAAGTGGCGTCTGGATTCCAGCCACGCTGCAGGACTGGCCGTGCCATCAGGCAGCCTGCTCCATGCGCCATCCCTTGGCCTTTCAAGCCGGCACCGTGCGCAGTTGCTCACCTCAGCGGTATGTCTCTCTTCCATTTTTGTAGTTCCCCACTTTTTCATTTAGGATTTGGTTTAGTTTAGAAATCTTCCAAAATTAATATTCTTTCTAGGTGTCCTCAGAGGTCTGCAGTGGCACTGACACGTTGCCTCCTGCTGTTTTGCCTCCTGCTGTTTTGCCTCCTGCTGTTTTGCCACTGATGTTTTGCTCCTGTGTTTTGTCTACTGCTGATTTTGTGTCGGCCTAAAGTGCTGTTTTACGGTTGCCTGTTTTTGTGTCCCACTTTGCCTGCTCCTCCCCGTCTGGTCTAGGTCGCGCGCTGCGCACTGGTGTGTCCCTTCAGACGGCGAGCAGAGACGCGGACCCGTGCGCACACTCTTTGCCCTGGGTTTTGCCTGTCAGGCGGACATTTCAGGCAATTTACTCGTTTAAACCTTTTTATTTCTACATTAGCGCTTTTTAATGTGAAAGAATCTTAAATGTCTTACAAAGTTGATTGTTAATTAAATATATCTCGTGAATAAAACTGTGAATTAACTGGAACCGGTTGCCTTGTATTTCAATACACTTACTTGTGTGCCTTCAATCTACACTAAATTATTTCCCCAGGAAGTCTGGGGTGGCGTTGCTACAACCTCTAAAAACTTTTATTATTATTTCTCCGATCTGTTAACCCCTCGGTTGCCACATCTTGGCGTTGCTGACAGGATTATTGAAAAAAAGAGAAAAAAACAAGGCCCGGTTTCCATTTAAGTTGTGAAAGATGCAATGAATTTCATTGAAGTTATGTGGTGTAATTAACGTTTTTTCGCTACCAAAGCTAAATCAACTGGTCCTGTGTTGTGCCAATTCAATACATGTTTATTTGTGTATTTTGCTGTTTTATTTCTGCATGTAGTGTTGTGCTTTAACCATTTGTTTTCTATTGCTGTGTACATATATATGGAATTTGGTTCTCACACTAGCTGGCTTGATATTGCTATTGAAGTGTAAAGCTAAAACTAAACTACTATACTGTTACATCTGAATTCATTGTACTGTATCTTGACACTTTACGAGGGGAATTGCTTTCAGTTTTAAGGCAGAGCAGCAGTGTCGGCAACGTGTAGGTTTTTATAATATACTGCGTTTTCTGTGTTCTTTTTTTTCCCCACGTGCTTTCCAATGGCGGCAGAGGTTCAGAACCTCAAAGATCAGGTGGCCCAGTTAACCGCTGAGAATGAGAGGCTGCGTTCGGACCAGGCTGCCCCTGGTACCTCCAGTGCAGAGTCCTCTGCCATGCCTGCAGCTGCCTCCATCACAGAGCGGCTTATGTATATACCCCGGGACAGGAAATGTCCTATGTTCAGGGGCCATACAGGCATCAGTTTGAGTGAATGGGTCGAGGAGGTCGAAGCATGCATGAGAGCGCGTCACCTGTCCCGTGCAGACCAAGCTTATTTCATGTATGACCACTTGGAGGGAGAAGCTCGACATGAAATTAAGTACCGATCCAGTGCAGAGCGAAAAGACCCAGATAAATTGATCTCCATTTTGCAAGATCTATACGGATGCTCTGACTCCTATGTAGCTTTGCAGGAGTCGTTCTTCTCTCGCAAGCAACAGGAGGGGGAGACCCTGCAAGAGTTCTCCCTCGCTTTGTTGAGCTTAATGCATAAAGTGAAAGCGCGTGCTCCAAACGATATGCCCAATTCTGAGGCATTGTTGCGCGATCAATTTATCGAGCATGTGCTGGACGGTGCCTTGCGTCGTGTGCTTAAACAACACGTCCGCCAAAACCCAACAGCAACCTTGCTTGTGGTCAGAGGAAGCAATGAGATGGGAGCGTGAGGGTCTTCCAGCCAGCGCCCGGGGTCGGAGTAATTCGATGCCTTCAGCATATGGTCTCCAAAACACTGTGCGCGGTGTACCACCAACCCCTACCTACTCCTCGCAGTCTGAGGTAAGTGAAATGAAGGAGCTCCTGAAAAGGCAGCAAGAACAGCTTGACTTGCTTACTCGGAGCATCGCCCTCCTGCAGGCTGAGTCCTCACGTAGTCACTCCCCCCGTCGTCAAGCGCCTGTCATTTGTAACCGGTGCCACCGACCTGGACATATAGCCAGGAATTGCCGTGGATCACGTGGTTCCACTCACTCCCGTTCAGAACAGCAGTCGGAAAACTAGCACCCACCAGGCTGCAGAGCCACAGCTCGGGTGGGGTTCCTACTGGCTCAGGAAACGTTCCTAGTCGTTCCGTTGCTGTTCCAAAACTTATTGCTTCTTGCCCCCATATTAACGTGAACATGGCTGGCGTTATAGTACCATGCTTGCTCGACACCGGGTCCATGGTATCAACCATCACAGAGGGTTTCTTCCGGGAGCATTTTGAGTCTCTGGGCAAAGACCGTCTTCAGGCGTGTCATTGGCTTCAGCTCAGAGCTGCCAATGGTTTAGCCATTCCCTATCTAGGCTATTTGGAACTAGACGTTAAGCTTTGTGGAAAGTTAATGCCTAGGTGTGGTGTACTGGTGGTGAGGGATCCTCCCAGCATGCCTGTGCAGGTTCCTGGTGTGCTTGGTATGAATGTCATCCAGAGGTGCTACAAAGAGCTATTTGGACAATACGGGTCTGCTTTATTTGACACAGCCCCCGTAGTTTTGTCTCCTGACCCTTTGGTCGATGCACTTCAGAAGTGTCATTTGGCTCATCAGAGGCCACCTCCAGCACAACCAGGTAGAGTCAGGGTGCGGAGAAGGCAAGCTTGCCGCATTCCTGCTGGTGTGATGAAGATAGTGCCAACTACATGTTCAGAGCTGTACAGTGATACATCAGCGCTTTTCGAACCCTCAGTCTGGTTTACCTGCTGGACTGCTGGCTTCTCCAGCATTGGTTCGGGTAGCTTTTGGGACCGCCTATGTCCCAGTCATCAATGTTGGGACTACCGATGTCCTGCTGCATCCTCGCACCGTTGTAGGTACACTGGCCCTAGTTAATGTGGTGAGCTTGCCTGCGGGTGTGACGGAGGTGCCAGCTGCAGCCGCGTCCGTCTCATCGCAGACGGCCACCACCTCTGTGTCAGATGTTTTTGAAGGACTAGATCTGTCTCTTCTGTCCAGGGAGGAGCAGGACCAGGTGCGATCTCTCTTAAGGAGGTATACGTCAGTGTTTGCTGCCCATGACCAGGACTTGGGATGCACCAACTTGGTCACCCATGACATCCCTCTCACGGATGAGGTGCCAGTCCGGCAGCGGTATCGGCGAATACCTCCATCAGAGTATGAGCTCGTTAAAGAGCACATCCATCAGCTCTTGGAGGCACAGGTGATTACGGAGAGTTCCAGTCCCTACGCCTCCCCCATAGTTCTCGTCCGGAAAAAGGACGGAAGCCTCAGACTGTGTGTTGACTACCGTCAACTGAACAGCAAGACCCGAAAGGATGCGTTTCCACTACCCCGCATCGAGGAGTCTCTGGACGCTTTGACAGGTGCTCGCTGGTTTTCCACCTTGGATTTAGCCAGCGGGTACAACCAGGTACCTGTCACCGAAAGCGATCAGCACAAAACTGCGTTCTGCACGCCATTTGGGTTGTTTGAGTGGAAACGCATGCCTTTCGGGCTCTGCAATGCCCCCAGCACCTTCCAACGTCTGATGCAACGCATCTTTGGGGACCAACAGTGCCAATCTCTCCTTTTGTACCTGGACGACATTGTGGTCTACTCGTCCAGTGTCCAGCAGCATCTGGAGAGGCTGGCTGTGGTGCTGGGTCGGCTGCAGAAGGAAGGTCTGAAGGCGAAGCTGAGTAAGTGCAGCTTCTTCCAGACAGAGGTGAAGTACCTTGGGCACGTCATCTCTGATCGAGGAGTAGCCACTGACCCTAGCAAAATTGACGTAGTAGCTGATTGGCCCACTCCAACCACGGCCACGGAGCTGCGATCGTTTTTAGGTTTCGCAAGCTACTACCGTCGATTTGTGGAGGGATTTGCAAAGTTGGCTGCTCCTTTGCACCACAGGGTGGCAGCGCTCACTGGTAAGCCCTCCAAAAAGAGAACTGCCCCAATCACTGAGGCAGACTGGACTGAGGAGTGCCAACGAAGCTTCGAAGCCCTTAAGGCCAAGCTCACCTCAGCTCCGGTTTTGGCATATGCAGACTTCTCTCGTCCCTTCATCTTAGAGATTGATGCAAGCCACGGTGGGTTGGGCGCTGTGCTTTCACAGGAGCACGAAGGTAAAGTGAGGCCGATAGCATATGCTAGTCGCGGGTTAAGACCGACTGAGCGGAACATGTCAAATTACAGTTCCATGAAGTTGGAGCTGTTGGGTCTCAAGTGGGCCCTTACAGAAAAATTCAGGGAGTACCTGTTGGGGCACAAGTGTGTCGTCTACACAGACAATAACCCATTGAGCCACCTACTGTCTGCGAAGCTAGGGGCCGTAGAACAGCGTTGGGCCGCTCAGTTGGCCTCCTTCGACTTTGAGCTTAAGTATCGGTCAGGGAGAAGCAACACAAACGCTGATGCTCTTTCTCGGCAGCCCTGGTCATCGCAGACACTGGAACCACTGGTGCCAGGTACTCTTCTGCCTTCTCTTCTGCAAGCCCTGCAGGGTCAGCAGGAGCAGGTGTTACAGTCCATGGTAGTGGTCTTCCCGCACTGCGCTCCTGCTGACCTTCCTACTCTCCAACAGGAGGACTCGGCCATCCAGGAAGTCATGGCATTCTGGCGGCAGAAACGACGGCCCACTCCAGATGAGCGAAAGGGCTTTTCTCAATCTGCCCTCACCCTGCTCGGACAGTGGGACCGTTTAGTGGAACTGGACGGGCTTCTGTACCGACAGGTATTTCGTTCGGATGGTGGTGGTGCCGTACACCAGGTTCTGCTGCCCAAGGCTTTGGTCCAGGATGTCCTAAAGCAGGTGCACCAAGAACATGGCCACCAGGGAGTGGACAGGACCCTGGCCTTGCTGCAAACTCGCTGCTACTGGCCTGGGATGTCCCGAGAGGTAGCTCGGTGGTGCCAGGCCTGTGAGCGGTGCCAGTTCGCTAAGAACAACCAACCCGCCCCTCACAGCTACTTGGGGCACCTGTTGGCCTCTCGGCCAAATGAAATCGTTGCCATCGATTTCACCGTATTAGAGCCTACCCCAACTGGCTTGGGAAATGTCCTGGTGATGACCGATGTTTTTAGTAAATATACCTTGGCCATTCCCACCAGAGATCAACGGGCCTCCACAGTGGCCCAGGTTCTGGTTGCTGAGTGGTTCATGAAGCTGGGCGTCCCCGCTCGCATCCACTCGGACCAGGGCCGTAACTTTGAAAGTGCTTTAATCCAACAGCTGTGCAGTCTGTATGGGGTCATAAAGTCTCGCACTACGCCCTATCATCCAGCTGGTAACGGGCAGTGCGAGCGCTTTAACAGGACCCTTCACAATCTGCTGCGTGCCTTGCCACCCTCGC